TTTGGGTTCCTATATTGGCACTGGGGCAATCCTGTTTGTCCATTAATAGGTGAGCAAGGTTGTTTACAAGTTGGACCCTGCTGGATAGGTTATTTCAAAATGGGAGTATTTTACCTCCAGTAGAAGAGAAATGGGGCTTGGACCGGATTCTTCCGTACTCTAGCCTCGTGTATGTAATGTGGGTCATACTGACACTGCTCAGGAGTCATCGCTCCAGCCAGGAAGCCTTCCTGACTGCTTAGGTGGGGTGGGCTGGCTGTGCTCCAGCCTGTGCCTCCCTCCCTCACGGGCCCTCCATGGCGCTTTTTACCACTCTGCATCTAGCCCCTCACTAGCCGGTAGACTCCTCCAGGGCACAGGCTGTGTCTTTGTCCTCCTTGTATCCCCAGGACCCTCTGCACAGGTGGAGTTGGTGCTCAGTAACTGTTCATTGACTGAATGGGCTACTGCCACGTGATCGTTCTTCTGCCTTCTCTAGCCCTATTGTTAAGGGATCATTAACAAACCAAGCGTTTACTTGCCTAAAATCAGTTTTAGCTATGCATGTTGGTTACTTTCATTGGCTGTACTCTGGGCTCTAGGCAGCCGCCCTTGGAGTAGAGGCCTCAAAGTCACATGCCCAAAGGGGCTAGGATGCAGACAAGAGAGTGAAGCAGGGCCAAATGTAAGGCAATAGGGAGTGGTGGGGACTGTGGAGAGCTGAGGAGCAGAGGCCCCGTGGAAAAGGCGCAACTGTAGGCAAAACCCATCTATGTGATAGAAGTCAGAATAATAGTTACACCTCTGGGGGAATAATGACTGGGGCACAAGAGGTGCTTCCTGAATGTGGAAATTACTGTAAGTTGATCTGAATGTCTACAATGGTAGTGAATGATCATTTTTGCAAGGGACAATTCAGAAAACATTAGAACGTGTATGGGCTGTATTCATTTGAATTCAGCATAAAAATAGCTTTATTGAATCCACAGGGCAGAAAATGCATATGCTTACCCACCTTATTGACTAGAAGGGTGTCAGTGAGGAAACTGGTGCATTTAAGAAGTAGCCGCATGGCCACATGGAGACAGCTTTCTAGACTTTCCCTGTGACATTCGATTGGGGTCTGTTGTGGGGAGTGGGGTGGGTGGCGGCTGCTTCTCACTGGCCGTATATTTGGGCCTCAGGATTAGCGCCTTTGGGACTGTCTCCCTTCAATAGTGAATGTCCACGTGGCCCAGTGTATTGCTGAGGGGAATGGGAATATCAGACATCCCTTCTCATC